TAGTTCCTCGAAAAGATACACAGCACTGGAGCTCACCGGAAAGTTTTAACTCTCCACCGCAGGCACTGGTTGCAGTTCGAGCTGCTTGTCTGATCAGAGGTTGCCCGAGCGTGCGCCAAAGCTTCTCCGAAATGATGGTAATGTCCGACCAAGTGTCCAACTGCAGACGGACTGGATGGCCATTTACGGTGACTGTCAGATACTTCCGGTTACCTGGCGTGTTGATCTGGAAGTAGCCAGCATGGGTCCTGCTCGATGCGGCTGAGGAGTCCTCAGCTTGGACTACTGTGTCCATGTTCAGGGTTTTTGCTGAAAAACCACTCAGTTATTTGCGAAAAAAACATCACAAAGCTGCAGTCAGCTTGTGCAGAACTGTTTTTGGGATTTCTGTTTCTATCTAGCTCAAATAGTTTTGCTGCTGATAACTGATTAGTCGAGTAAGACAACCTTAGGGTGGTGGCTTTGTGCTGTACCGTGCCTTCGCTGAAAATAGCTTAGAAGCTATGGAGCTTGGGTTCGCCCACGAAGAATTTGGGAAGCTTAGCGAGTACCTAGACTCCAATCCCGGAACGTTACACACAACTCGTGATAGCATTTTGGCCGGTCTCGTTTCTCTTCGGTCATTTTTTACATCTCGAATCCCCTCCTCCAACTTAAATGCATTCGACATCCTACTAGTACTCCATAGCCATGATTTACACTATTTTCCGTTCCCGAGAACAAGCAAGGAAAAGATTCGTCGTCATCGTTGGAAGCGACACCAGTGTTTCGCTGTCGTACAACCACGCCAGTCTACTTGGAAAATCCTATCACGAAAGGAAAAGGTCCTAGCTCTGGCTTACTAGCCAAAGCTGTCCATACCTTCAGCACTTATTCCGATGAACTAGATGGATACAGGCAAGAAGAGCCATGTTAACCTCGCTTTGCAGCCATATATAGCCGCGTCTCTAGCCAACAACTGAACTGGAAAAGGATTGAACATAGTTTTGGCCCACTGCACCCCCAAAACCAGCCAGCTAAGCATATTGCTGTTCTAAATACTCACTGTTCTGTGTTTTCACTTAGGCATATCCAATCTACATACTATTGGTGCTCATCTTAACCGTTATTCTCTCTTTCTTCTCACAGATCGAAAGCCAGTAAGTCCTCGTTGTTGTTTTTGTTTTATACTCATGCTATGTGAAGTAAATGAGTTATGTTAGGCTTAACTTTTACTTAGATCTGTGCCGCTATCCAAGCCAGGTGCAAATATTGACTTCAGGACCCATTTGAAGTTGTAAGATTCGTTAAGATCATTTCTCTGAGACCGTAGGATCATACGCCTAACCGTGCCAAGGGCGAAATAGACCTTTGTCGAAGAGATTTACCGTCTAGTCGTTCACTAAAGTCGTATCCATCCAGTAAATCTGGACAGAAATGGCTCATTGTCGCTGATGAACAATCAAATGGGATGATTCAATCATGACGCCTTTTGGTGGATAACTACTGTGTGTCGTGTATGCAACGCGATGTTCTGCTGTACCTGCGCCTAGACAGAAGAAACCGTGTTGTTAAACGCCCCTAAAAATGGTAGCCCCCGTAAGGGAGTTTTTGGAATGCACCGTCCCATGCCTTCTTTATCCAAAAATTTGGTCAATTCCAGAGAAGTCACGTTTCGAATTATGCTGATGCACTCTGTCCTCCTGGTAAGGGTATGCTATGCTAGACTCTTCATTCGTACAAGCTGGGGGACGGAGCAGCCAGTCCCTGCTTTTGGCAGCGCCTATCTGGATCTGGACAAACCTAATACAGAACGCTCGAGGGAGTTCGACGGCCGCATGTTGTTAAGGTCCAATATGTTAGGTTGCGTCTGGACATCAGGCACATTTAGCTGGTGAATCCCAATCAAGGCGAAATGCTCATTGGTTTGTGTTTCCGAGACCAGCCACATCTGCCTTCCAGTTAAGTTTTACCTCACCGGTATATAGCCTACTATTCATTGGCTTCGGAGCGGGTCCATCTGAAAAAACGAGTTAAATACTTCAGCGTAATTCCCGGCCTTTCTACCGATGGCAATCACACTTGATCCGAACCACCCGAAAATATCTCACCGTCTTACACGTGACAGGAAACCTTGAAATGGAAGAAGTTTGTTGTCCAAAACAAACCACTCATTTACATACCATTTGCTTTTGAGAGGAGACTCACCTGGAGCAGCTGAATCTCTCGTTTATGATGTTTCTTAGCAACTAACTGTACTACACCATGCCTCATGTTTCAGTTGGTGCGATATTTGAGATATCGTGATACATTTATGGAAGTAATACACTACTCATAAGGTCGCTGAAAACTCGCCGACAGTCGATGACCGGTCCCGCCATTCTCGGGGCTCATCAGGTAGATGCAGTCCTCGAGTTTCCGTTGTCCTTATGTTCCACCTGAACCCAAATTGTTCGGAATTAGCGAAGTACACTCATTTGCATACTAACTTGGTTTTGACGATTCAGCTGGGTTCCAAATGAGTCTCCCGTCAAGATCGAATTGGCATGAAAATGAGTGTATTTCGCTAATTTCGTGCAATTCGGGTTCATGCAGAGCATTAGGTTGATGGAAACCATATTTTACTTCTGTTGTCACCTGGAATGCTTCCGTACACTTTGCCATCTATTTTCTACCACTATATTACTGAGCCCCTCTGATCTGTTCACGCTAGAACTTGGGCGCATGGTCAGGTTCGGCATCATGCAGCCTTGGTTAGATCTTCGGAAAAACTCTATCGGTATACTTGTTGTCCCTCGAAAACTTACTTGTCTGTACGATTCAGACTCAGTTGCCTGTTTAGATTTTTTGTCAACAACTAGTCAAGCTGCGAATCGCTCTAGGAGAGCACAGAAAATGGGAGCTTCAAAAGGCTTTTTGGTTTTCGAAGTTAATACCGTCAGATTACTTGGCAGACCTGGGATCTCTCGAAATCATAGCTTTTGCAAATTCAAGCTTGATCCGTGGAACAGCAGAGTTCCATGGCTGCCGGTAAACGTCGCAATATTCCTGCGTGCAATCCGACAGTGCCTCGTACTGACCAGAAGTCTACGTGACGTGTGACAACTGCTCGTGGCGACTGACCCTAGTTAGGTGGCGATTACGCGCCAATATGTATTGTTGATGTATAACTGTCCAAATCAAATTGGCAGCAAATATCCCAGTTGATGGTAACGATTTCACTTACTAAATAGCCCAAATTTATAACCCTATTTGTCAAGCCAGTTAGACTTGCTTCCGTTTGTTTTGCAGCATAAATCCGGTGAAACACGGCGTGCCGGGCGTTTAAAATCAGATCAAATGGAATTTCTGCCCGAAGTTGATGATGAACTTGACTATGTAAGCACTCGATTACTTTATTCTATGGAGCTTTTGTGACCCTGATCCACTAGTTATTTTTGTAAAGGTGATTCGGGATTTCCTAATATCTATGAAGTTGAAATCATGATTCCCGTAAATCAACGGGTTCCCCTTTAATTTTATTTACATTTTTACCGGTCGCCATGATGGTCAATGGGCTTCGGTCCGTCCCGTCGACCTGAAACGGTTATCTTGTGTAGGTCATGGCTGTACGAGGGCTGGGATACTGCCAGAGTGCCCACACCTAGACAGGAGGACGATTAGGGTCCTCAACCAAAGCCTTTGGCTCAAAAGCCTAACCGCAAGGCAACGGTGTTTGGCGGGGAAATGCAAATGCATTACCTTTTCTACTGAACAAGTCGCCACATGTTCCAACCCCCAACCTGGAGAGCCAGGAGACTGTGTTCGTCAGACCTCTAACCATTGACCAACCTGGTATGAGAGACTCTGCGAGTGTCGCGCGGACACCCCCCAGTATAGCTCAATGGGTCTCCGAGGTACACAAACCGCCACACCACGGTAAGGTCCAGTCTCTTCGTGACGGACGGTTATCTATGATGTACAGAGTTGAAAAATGAACTCAGACGCATACGAAATATCGAAAAACACATTTGCTTCGGGATTAACGAGAGACTTAACTAGATCTCTCATCCATACTGTAGTGTGTTACGTCAAGAAGGTCTACAGACATGTGTTGAACTCGGTCGCATATGCAAACGTGGCGAAAAAGATTCTCTTATGGGCTTCATGTGTCCCTGCTTTACGATGAGTACAAACCCGGTCATTGGAATAAGCCCTGATGTGACCACTCCTGTCGACCGCTCCAATCTGAGTTCAAATGGATTGGTATGAGACGTGATTAGTGTGCATCCAATAGTTTGGTTGTCTATTTTGTTCAGGGTAGTACCACATTGCCTCAGCTCTTTACTAATTCGACCTCACTGTGAAGGTAAAATGTCATTTGGTGAAACACTTCCAAGTATGGAGACGCAATGTCCCCCCACAGAGGGTTTTTTTCCTCGTAAGACCTTTTTGAATGTCCTCCAACGCAATGCCCTTAACCCTACTGGGAATTTAAATTATTATTCTTCATTCAAGGTCCTCTTTTCAGTGGACTTTGTTGTTTACTGTGACCAGCTTTTTCCATCTGCCTCGCTTTGTAGACATAAGAGGTGAACTGTTCCATCATATGTCCAATCACCTGTATACTTAAGGCTGTTTTTTTAAACCACAATCGGACAGCTGAATTCGCAGACTAAACCAGATTTTCACCATCATTTCAATGGAGTAGACTCACCGCTTCTGTTTATGGCAAACATTGGCATCTGCACATTCGCTCCGCCAGTCATCCACACACAGCGTCCCAGCTTCTATCGCTTAATTCACCGCCCGTATAGGACAGTAGGAAAAGTCGCCACTTGTATGAGTTCAGCATAGAGACCATCAATGGGAACGTTTCAACGTGTGTATAGCTGACATGCAACCGAAAAAAGACACGAGGGCTGCCAGGCTGTCGAAGTTTAGACAGGAGCAACCAAGAAGCCAGGTGTTGTGACTTGCTGGACGGTAGTGCAACTCTGTATCGGTCCCTTGGCTTCCCGCTCCGCCCACTATGGTGTATCAGAAGGCACGGTAGCTCTACACAGCCCTTTATGGAGACAAAAAGAGAATCATTATATCTGTATTTATAGGGTAATCACAGAGTGTTCCACAAGGTCGTGCTGCTGTCACTGATTGGGCGAGAAGCGTCGAGTCAAAGATGCTCGATCCGGATTGGCTGGCATTCTGACCAATCAGAGCATGCCTTCGTTTGGTCCGTTTTCTGAACGTGACACATTCATCCAAATGATGTGATGTTCGGTTATCGGGGACGGTTGGTCTCCGAACAACAAGGTTCCCGAAAACTATTCGATAGCCCATCACAAGGCCCGCTTGTTTGTGTATTCTCCGAGTTCCAATCAACCTTCTACTATTCTGTAATAATATTCGTCCAGCTGTAACATTCTTTCGGTGCCTAGCTACCATGTCGCCCGATTCAACCTCGACGGCTGAGATACTGCCAGGTTGTCCAAGCCTGGACAGGGGCAGTCGAGATGCAGAGGTTAGGTTCGAACCACGGATGTTGCGGTCAGTTAGTTCACGCGCTGACCACTGATCTATCTCGAGCTCTCTATTCTTCTGTACGCAAGCATTGGTTTTCGCCAATGTTGTGAGTAGTTTTGTGCCAAAAGAATATATACATCAAATAACGTGTCAGCTGAAAAATGGCGTAGCCTTTGTGCAGCACATTCAGTTCATGAATACCATAGCCAAAAGATTTAGCTGGAATTCAGTCGAGTCTCCCGTTAACACCTACTTTATTTGCAAACCAGTGTATTTTGCTACATGTAAAAGTTAGCTTTGTTGGTTAGCTTTTGTTGGCTGAAGCCACGCGCTGAAGGCAATCATGTCAGTTCATGAACCCAACTAGCCACACTACTAAATACTGTCCTCCAGTATGTCTAACTCTAGCTTTTTGCTCTTTTTTTGGGTAAACAATGATTGTTTAAGTCCCTTGGTTTTTCGTTCACTGCTCCCATAATGTCCTGTTACGCGTCGGTTTTTTTGGTCGTCTTCAGACCGCCTCTTCTCAGTGCGTGACCAAGTGAAACGGCTTCTTTGGAGAAGGTTTTGTTTGATAGTCATCCCTTTGTTGGTTTCAGTTGACTTTGGCTTATTCGACGAGTCGAACGGTTAGGTATTTCCATAAAGATTGTATCCGCGTTGAGACTCTCCGTTTTCCACGTTGTAATGTATTGAACTTTGCCCCTTCCTAGTCGGCGTTTTCTTTCAAAACGTCGCTCTCTGGTGCTTCACGTAAAATGCTTCGTGTTTTACTGATGATGATTGGTATCCCTGGGGCAACTCTGAACATAAGGTATACGTTTTGCGACCCCCTTCATATCCATTCAGCCAAAAACATCCTCCTTAAAAAATCTGATTCTCTGATTCGCTGACGTGAGAGGTATAGCCATATTTGGGCAGGGAAGAAAGCTCTATTTTGCAATAACTCATAAAGTCTTAAAGTCTGTTAAATGGTAACTAGATACAAGTGACACAGTACTTCAAAAAAATCTCGTTTCAATACCCACATTAAACGGAAACTGGCTCATCCAACGCTGCATCGAATAAGTACGCGTATAGTGATTCCATTAGACAGTGCCTGTTGGACCTGCCAAACTTGCTCAATCGTGCGGGGATTTCCTCGAAGCCAATCTAGCCTCTTCAGGGTGGCAGTTCCCTTAATTGGACTTTGTGCATCTGGACCTTGCCCGGGAAAAACGGAGCAGAAGAGGAGCACTTGTTGCACAGCAATGTCTTTGGGACGTCTTCTGTGATAATCAGCACAGGCTGTTTTGTCTTCCTTTTTGCAAACCTCGCAGGACGGATAACTTTTCTGAATTGAACAAATTAGCTTGTGGGGTGATTCGTGAAGTGCCAGGATACTGGGTACACCTGTGATCCTCTGTTCTCCGTGGGTTTTTCTATTCTTCAGTTGTTTGACGATCGTGTCGATCCGCGGTTTACATTGCTCATACGATGTCATGTCTGAGGTCTGGGGTTTAGCGATTTTTCCAGCCAATTTGGTTCATCGTTTCGTCTTCCAGTCACAACTGTTGAGGAACCATTAGTGAGATCTTTATTGAAACTCCCCGTGTGTGGCAAAAAAGTTTGTCGAAGACACTAGTATTCGAAGCGAACTTCATGTCTGATGCTAAGCCCGACCAGTGTGAGATACAACCTCTCCTGACAGCTCTTGGAGCCTCTCGCCGGAGCGTGTGAAAGCAGCCACCTTGGTGATACAGGCATGACTCACGCCTGTTCATTATAACGCTGTTTAACCTCCCTGCTGCTCGTTCCCTGGGTTTGCTCCCGCTTAAGACTTGCTTACTCTCTAGTTACTATTGCCAAGATTTTGTTGCCTATCCGCCTTCGCTTGCAACTTAGTATCAGTTCTACCTATTCTCAAGTGTCTACTCCAACAGAAAAGCGAACCGCCCGCTGATCGGTACCCCTCCGGTGATACAAGTGCGCTACCCACTACGCCAAGTCGGTTTGCCAGACAGCCCTGTTTTTCTACTATGTCCGTATTGCATCTCACCTGATAGTGTTTATTGAGATTTCGTTATAAAACAGGCGCAAATGCACATTCCGATTTGATACGTGTTACATGCTACTTCATCATGCTTTCAGCTAAAGACTGTCAGTAGTTTCCGCTATCTCCCGAACGTACTGAACATCTGTCCCGATATCTCTGTACACGGCTTCTTTACACTGTCTGACTGTCCATGTCCAATGCCCTACTGCCTCACTGCCCTCTTTTCTGTTCCTACCGATTGCGCTATTGGTGACCAACCAGCTCTCAATACAGCATCCACTGTCGTCATCTCTCTGTTCCTACTGAATATGGACTGCATATAGTTCGGTAGCTCTGATCGTTCTGTCAGATACTTAGCGGCCCGGATCCATAGTGTTTTGTTGTATAGCGGCTATCAAAGCTACCTACTAGCAGTGTACGGGAAACATACCCGAATGATTGGTCATTGCTGTCTAATCTGGAGTTTATGGTATCTGGAAATATCTGTTGTTTTCCCGGACGACTGAGTAGTGCAGTGTTGGTGCTTTTTGGAGCACAGTTCTTCCGTTTAACAACCAGAGGGAGCTTTACTCGAGCTCCTGCGACCTGTACCTCCTGTCTTTTCACACATCTGATTGATGAGGTCCGTCGTGCGCACCGGTCTCCATTGGGGAACGTTCGTCCTCTATTGTTGACGCAGTAACCATTCAGTAAACCCATACAACACTTCCAGTCGCAGTGTACACAACCGTCACCGATGAGTTCACTAAAACCTGTTGTCACAAATCTTGAACTTACCAGAGGGTTTCGCGAGATTTCAACTTGTACACCCAAGCTTCTCAATGATATCTCCTCCCTGTTAACCTGGGTTTGTATGATGCAACCATTCGATTTCACCCCTTACTTACCCGGAACAGGTAGTATGGCTGTTGTAATTTATCCAATATCTATGATGGATGACATTCGAAACCGACACAGTTTTGTACATCCACCTCCCGTTCCTCTCTAACATACGAGAAATTGTCAGAGAAGTCTAGGGGTGAGTTCCATGGGCCTACAAGTGCACTCACTCACTCGGTCGATAGGTAGGGCATTGCGCAACGTGAGTCAAAATACTAGTTCCGGTGGGTCAGGAACGCACTAATCGGCACGCGCAGTAGGCACTACCATCAACCTCATGTGTTCTGGCTGTATCAGGTCGCTGATCTGTTGATCTGTGTTCAAACCTATTTCTGAGTTATGGAGAATTGGGAGGATGCGATGGAGAGACGAATGCGCAGCAATCCAAACAGATGACTACAAGCATCTGTTCATAATGGGCGGATAACCACGGATAGGGGTCTATAAATGTCGAAAAATTGTACTGTCAAGACGACAAGCTGGTTTTGCATGTGAACTAGCCCACCGAAACTATTGCTTTGTGTCCAACTGAACATTGCCCCATCTACCGAATGTTGTTGGCTTAATCGACGGTTTGATCGGTTTTGACAAATGAAACTGTGCAAATCCACCAGCCTCTTTTTTAAGGTTACATTCATTTTTGAGCCGAACGTGAATACATGTTAACCCATGGGACGCGCCGTAGGCTCTTTTGGCAGTGTCTGGGGTTTTGTAGAGCCCTATTTGAGCTTCTCCTTTGCAGGTTTCTGGGCCCAATGATATCAAATGTAGTTTAGTTTCTTGCTTTTGGAACGTGACGTCATCTACGTAACCTAGAGATTTAATGTAGGACCCATTGAAAAGTAGTAGTGACTTCAGACAAGTATTCAGTTCCGTCCCTGTTTCGTACTCTGTTTACTTTCCCGAACTACTCTTTTTGACAATTCAGAATGAAGACGAACTCCCTTCTCTCTCGAGACCTCAAGAATCTACTGAGAACCGCATCCCATCGTCAGGTGCCTATTCGCATGAATCACGGGTTTTTTCGCCCAGGGAGGAAGGCGAGGAGCTTAGCGAGGAAGAATACGATGAACGTGGTGACTTTATAAATGACTCGAAAGCTGGACGTTCTTCGAAACCATCCACTTTTCATGAGCTAGAGGAAGGAGAAGCTTCTAGTGACGATGATCAACGACGTCCAGCATCCAGATCCGGCAAAACTGATGGCAAATCACAGTTGACTTCCAGACTGCTATTAGAAGAGGCCGAATATAGACACCGACTACATGAACGTCATGAAAAACGACAGCGTGAAAGGTTGCACGCTATGGATGGTTTGAAGAAAAGCAAGCCGTCTGCTACTTCCGTGCGTGATATGCAGTCGGAGTTTTTGCAGCCGCACCCAAAATTTGACCCCATTTCAGATGCAGATCGCAGCAGGTTCACCCTATCGGGTTCTACATCTCCCGAAAACGTACAAACGGGCAAAAAGTGGTCTTCTAGTCGACTGGATTCCTTGGACAAAGGTTGGCGAGGTTCAATCATTTGTTTTCTGTCCTCACTTCACTTTTGCTTCTGATTGTCTTTCCATCGATCCGTAAGTCACTTCGTCGTAACCACTAGCTACTGGCAGTGGAAGATTAAGGTTGCCAGATAGAAAGGATAAATAGAGAGATCCTCATTCAATCAGTGTTTTCTGTTCTTATGCGTTTGGATGGACGCCAGTAATCTGGGTTATCCGCCTCATCTCCAATCAACAGCCGCTCCACTGAGCTCCAGACGACCTGACCCACTTTCAGCGTTCTTCTGGAATGCTGTTCTACTGACCCGAACTCATACTTCCTCCATAAACAAATTGCTGGTAGTACTGTATCGACTTGTTTTCAGCGTTCATTTTAATTGGGACTACTCTCACGAGTAAGGCGGATCTTGTTAGTGGTAACTACGTCAGTCGCGCATATTTTGTGGCATTTGGAAACGAGCACGAGGCATTCAAATCCAAATGTTACCACTTCCACTCTTGCGCCTTGTTGGTCGACTTATTCTATTATACACTGTCTTCCAAGCTCGGGATAGCTCACCAGTTGAGGTACGAAGCTACTGGTCAGATGATTATGGTTCGATTCCTCCTAGCTATACTCGCGTGACTTGGCAGCAAATTATGAAAATCATTAGCGGCAAACTCAACTGTACCAGTCGTTGCCGTCTTCCCGGATGAGGAACTCAAGACAGGACACATCAATGGTTAGAGACATTGTCAGACGTGGCTCAGTCGTGCTCTCGGTGGTGCTCATTTGTTCAAGCTATTGTCTTTAATGCATAGCTCTCTTCCAGATCTCGATGAATAGCCCACTGGTACCCCTCTATTTAGGCATCACTTATATCATTTACCGCCTCCAATGCGTAACTATCTACCCCACCTTCCCAGGTCATCGATAAACAGAAGTATGACAGCTATAACCACCGTACGGAGAATGCGCGGTTTTTACAGCTAAAGATGATGTTATCGATGATAGTATCTCACTCCTCGTGCTCCTTTCTTGTCCGGTAGCAGCCATGCTCCGGAATGCTACTTCACCTAAGTGAGTATTGTGAGTATTGTTGTTACTAGTATTCATAGGGCATCATTTCGCGTAATCCTGATATCCGTTGTGTTCCACACTATCATCCAAAATTTTCCGCTTGTTTAGCTCAGCAACAGACCTCCACTGATGTGCCCTATGGCGAACATGGCTTGAGGAAGTCAAGTCACAAACGGTCAGAAAAAACTGAACATAACTCCGAATCTCAAATTAAGCCGGACAGTGTACTTCGTTCCTATTCAACTTCTCTGTTACCATACGAACGTGCGACCGAGGAAGAACTGCAGTATCGTGCTGACCGGTCGTCCAGTCACAGATCCAAGGATCGAGAAGCCAAAAAGTCGGCGAAAGTTAAGAAAGCCAAGCGAGATCGACACGGGAAAATGGAAGAAGTTCCCTCAAAGAGTGGAAGTAGAAGTCACAAAGCTCAGCTACAGTTCGTCGACTGGGAATCGTATGTTTACGGAAAAACAAATTCACAACTTCTAGGCAAGCGGGTACAATCGCCTGGGGTGATCGTCACCAGTCCTCGTTCTTCCAGTTCAAGCTCGCCATCCCGCGACTCCGCTTCTGTGTCTCCCCCGCCAAATAAAGCCCATCGCGAGTCCACCAGCTCTCGTAAACTTTCGTCACAGTCCCCTTTTGTTGATCCCCAATCTGTGAAGTCTACGCGCCGTAAACATAGGCACCGATACCATCGTGAGGTAAGAGAAACAGCACCGCCTCCTGAATCAGGGCGATCTTACAAGCTTGAACCAAACTACACTGAATCTGGTAAACGTCGTAAGCACAAGCAGTTGGCAGATGATTCGGATCAACAAACTATTTCATTGCAGGCCAAGCGCAGTCGTGCTTTCAATGAGCATAAGGACCAGAATAGAGACGCTTCCTTCGAGCCTAACAAGTATCTTGATGATACCAACCAATCCCGTTCCAAATCCCGACCCGATTCGGAACATGCAATGCGTGAACCGCATACAACATATTCGTCCCCACCGCTGTCTGATCAGAATCAGGTGCGTTCGGAAAAAAATCCCACAAAACCCTCCACAATTCGGAGCCCGTTCAAAGAAGATTCCGTAAGTGGTGCGTCAGATCAGAATGAGAATGACAAACCGGAGCCTCCGACAGAACCCGTTGCACGCAAGCTTCCAGAGTCCATTGATCAGGTGATCAAACATGAGCTGAGGCCAGGTCGATTCCAACATTATCGTCTTTACTCTGAATCCGAGGATGATGATGACGATGGCCAATCCGAATCGGAGGACAATCAAGAAGTGAATGACGAGGAAGCCAACAGATCAGACGAAGATCGAGATGATTTGGACAAATCTGGTGCAACGGATGGCAGTGAGCGACAACCACGTGCTCCCAGCAAACCATTTTACTTCCCTTCAATCCAAGTAAGTATGATATTAATTTTGCTTTTCTTCCCTCTGCCCAGTGCGTGGCGCGTCTTTAGCCCTCATTCAGACGATTAGTCTTTCATCTCCGCATTCCTTGACACAAGCGAGTTTATTGCTTCATGTCTATCAGTCGGGATGCCTATGGTGTAGAGACGCTTTATTCAAACTATCCTCGATGATGAAGATTAACGTGAAACCATGAGAATTAGCAGCCAAAACCATGAGTTGGTTGCCACTCCTTCCCCACAAATCATCCTTTCGGTAGCCGCTTACTTATAGCTTGTAGCTATGAACGTCTTGCCAACCAGGTGTTTGCCTATCTGGTGACAATTCTTCCAAGAAGGCTGCATTGGAAGCTGGAGCTATCGCTTTTCTTTATCTCATTTTGGCCATTCAATACTGCTCGGGTGTTGTTAATATAAAACAACCACCAAAGGTTTACGAGGTATGTTAAAGCCCAAAACCAAGTCAAGAAGACCTGTGAAGCGCTTGATATTTTTAGCGCAAGTGCCAACAACCACCTGGAAAATCTGACACCCTCTGGATGCGGCATTGACAACCGGCATTCGGCTAATGCTGTGTCATGATTGGCTCTTAGATCCAGACTTTCGATCAATCAGATCTCGGCTTGATGCCGGACCGGCAAGCGTCCCGAATTCTTGGCCAATCTTGCCTGGGATGGACTTCTCGGCCGTAGCGGCACCTGACTGCGAGCGATAAAGAGAGATCCATGTGGAGTTCCGCCTAACACTGTGGATAGTGTAGCGAGTGGCCAGTCCACTTCTGTTGGTATATGCGCGAAGCGATATTGTGTGATCATCAACAAAACCAACAACACCAGTGTCCACACTGGCGCTTCACTGCCCTACAACTGCAAGGCTAAGTTAATTACATTTGGAGTGGAAACAAGGGGAAGGTGGGTGAGGAAGCTGATACTAGCTCATTTTGATGTGGTTATACCCCCAAAAGCCACAGACATTTCTTGCTGCCTTGCAAGAGAGTCACGGGGAGCCCATCCGACCGCACTAACAACATCCAATCCCTCGCAATCTCTTGCGATTTCTTCTGCTGAGTCACATGCTGCCTGCCTTGAAGTCTGTATCATTCGGAAGGAGGCAATGAGAGCAATAACAGTCCCCGTATACAATCACTCACCATAAGCAACACATGACCGAGCCGCTGCACTCGATGTTGATTAGTGTCTTGCTCGACTAAATTACATACCCGTTTTCCAATTAGTTCGTTACCAATTCACTGAAACCATCCGATACCCTAAAGACGCTTCACATTATTTGTCCATGTGTCGCAACCGAAAAAAAACGCACAATCCTTGATACCCAGTGCTATGTGTTTTCAACGCCACAGTGGGCGCAACTTAGCAAACGTGATTCGGACCTTTGGTATTCGTCTAGCAGTCATTTCACTAGACACATACCTAATTATCTAAAAATTTTCTACAAACTCCAGTGCTTCTCTTTGAATTGCACGGAGAACGTACAGAGACTGTACGTACTGAAGCTTGAGTTTGCATTTTGAAGGTGCATGCCGAAAAGTGGTATGAGGACGATGTCGACTGTGTACTTCAGATCGACAGGGTTCTCACCAGCAGCGATTTGAACAGTTAGGTTTTGGGACTCTTCCGGCGTGCGCCTCATCGAACAATCACACACACACAGAGAGAGAGCAGACATCCTCATCGTCCACACGTCTTTGTAGGGAAGCTTTTTGAGATCTCTTCACACAATATCACGCACTTAGAAGCATGTGAATATAGGACAACGGACAACATAGCTCCTCCGCAGGCTGTGTATCCGATTGCGGCAGTGACCGTATTTCCGACTCGCAGTTGGTGTCGTACTTGATCACATACAGGCCGGGAACACATGACTAGTTTTGTGCAGCTTCTTGCCAAGTCTCACTGTTCCGCGCTTTTCAAATAGTCATGAAATACTTAATTTTATCCGTTCATTTTTTATTGTTCGGTTCCGCCGTAGTAGAATAACTGACTTCCAAGGTTATCCCTACACACAACTTGAACGCTTAACTATTTCTCTTCTTTTTCCCAACAGGGTTGTCGTTCTGTTGAGGAGTTCGAATGTTTAAATCGAATCGAGGAGGGTACCTACGGAGTGGTGTATCGTGCTCGGGACAAGAAAATCAACGAAATTGTCGCGCTAAAACGCCTAAAAATGGAAAAAGAACGAGATGGGTTCCCGATCACCTCTCTTCGGGAGATAAACACACTTATGAAGGCACAGCATGAAAACATTGTCACTGTGCGGGAGATTGTGGTTGGCAGTAATATGGACAAAATCTACCTGGTGATGGACTATGTGGAACATGATTTGAAATCTCTAATGGAAGTAAGTGTTCTGGTTGTTCGGTGAAGTGCACCTCATACGTGTTCCGCAGAATGCATTGTATTGTTGCTAACATCACGCTAGATAGCTCAAGTGGTTAGAGCGCGAAGGTCCGTGGTTCGAACCCAACCTCTGCATCTCGGCTTCCCCTGTCTAGGCTTGGGCAACCTGGCGGTATCCCAGCCCTCGTGCTTCCTTCGGGTAGCATGGCAGCTAGACACCGGAAGGGCGTTACAGCTGAACGAACATCATGCCAGGACTAGTCTCACCAGTGAACTGAACGATACACTTTTTACTGTGTAAGTACACCGGAGAAACCTCCTCTGACTTATCGCAGTAATACAGCGCAACTCAGTGGAACTATGAACGGCAACTTTTCCACCCACGGGCTCACTGTTGACAAATATGTCTTCAGGTCCGTTTCAGCAACAGTCTGCTAATCCTCCTTTTCCTGAACAACAAGACCTGCTATCCCCCTTTCCATCAGTTTTGTAGGTGGTAGCTTCCCGTCCGAAAAGTCGTCCGTCAAAGGACCATTCATCACCTGCTCGCGTGATGTGGAATCAATGGACACCATTTCCTGTGTAATTGCAATTAAACCCCAGTAGCGATCAACTTCTAGTGTTCAACTACTAAGAGGATCCAACCCTCTACAGATTCGTGAGATACATACCGTTGATAAGCTCTGTCAAGGGCGAAACAACTATCCAGTGTTTCTTCGTTTTGCCAAATAGACTGACTTCTCTTGTTGGATGAAGAATGCACTGAAACTTTATAATCTCGTCACTGTCTACAGTTCATATGCCTGAAAAGTTCCACAGGTCCAATGGACCTTCTGCTGGGGGAACCAGTCTACCCTCAGTCACGTGACGTGGTGCTGCATCCCGTCCAAGTCCAAGGTAATCGTACCAGTGATTAGCCACTGGTGGCCGACCGTTAACTAGAGGGTTTTGGGTTCGTTGGAAACTCGTGAGATACCCACGGATAACGTTCCAAATTTGGCTTCTCGGGCTTTTCAGCAATGATCTGCTTCATTTTCAAGTTGAAATCCTTGTTGAACTTTCATTCGTTTGCAAATTAGGCTTCTCGGCTTTTCAGCAATGATCTGCTTCATTTTCAAGTTGAAATCCTTGTTGAACTTTTATTCTACTAGTTCATATGACCGTTGATTTCATTTTTTGTTGCCTGTTATGTGTTCCTTTTGCTCATTTTTAGATCATGAATGGTCCGTTTAGTGTCGGCGAAGTAAAATGCTTACTGGTTCAACTTTTGAAGGCTGTGCGACATCTACACGATAATTGGATTCTTCACCGGGATCTGAAAACTTCCAACCTGCTCCTCAGCCACCAAGGTATCTTGAAGGTGCGTCCCCTTTACCACGTGACCAAGAATGGTATTTTGGCTACAGCATAGTCTTTTCATCCCTCTTAAAGGTCTCGCTTATTCTGAGCGGGATAGCACAAGGCCTGTCGCAGTACCTGTCTTTTATCTAAACACCAGTCAGTCCCAGCAATAAAAGTTGAATTTTCAGAGTGAAAAATTACTGGTTAGTTGTAAAGTCTTTCTTGAATCCTTGGCATAGGAAAGATGTATACAGACAGTGCAAAAGAGAAAATTCGTTGAAGCAGAAACACCTTCTAGATCGCGTCGGGTGATTTAAAGGGGTATAGAAGTATAACAGGTCGCACTGTGGGAAAAAATTAACTGAATTTAGACCGCTTGTTCGAATTATGGTTCTCTTTAGAGGGACCACCGTAGGTGAGACTAACGGTAGATGGAGTCTTCTGAATGGAAAAGACGTTCATTCAAATGTCTTCTCGGAGGGTGATTTCAGATAAATGTTGTTCATCCTACATGGTTTTTTTGGAGAAACCTTTACTGACCAATTTCCACAAGAGTTCCCCCTGATAACCTATTGTGTTCAGAAGCGTCAATACAGTGCCCTCCCATGAAGTAACGGCCCTTCTCAAGGAATTCACAGAGTCCAATAGTAGAATGCTGCATTCCATTTGGGAGAACGACTTCACTTATGGGTCTCATGGTAACTTTGTGCAGCATACAACCACAATCTGGTTGTTGCGATTTGCATTACACAAAGCACATGATTGGGTTATATGAAAATTTAGTCCAGTCGTGAACCGTCCCTCACTGATTTGATTTCCCAGAGTACATTCTTTCTATAATTTTCAGGTTGGTGACTTTGGTTTGGCTCGCGAATATGGATCTCCCCTGAAGCACTATACTGAGGTCGTCGTCACGTTATGGTATCGCGCTCCGGAGTTACTTTTGGGTAGGTTCGGGGTCAGCATCTCCTCCTTTGACCTTTAAAACCTCTCTCGTCCTCTTTCCAGTCCGCGCATGAATACACACAATCGGATTTGAGTTTGCACTATCTCTATCCGGAATTCCACCGACTCATCTCCGTAATAATCATTTTTTTGTTTGAGCACCCAGTTGCAACGATATTGTTTGGGAAGAATATCCTTGTGGCGAATTAGACTTACTAAGTGTTGTGGACCACTGTCCCTTAACGCCTTCTTTTTATTATTATTACAGGGCTGTTATTGTTATTACAGGGCTGCTGACAAGATCTTTCAGAGGTCAAACTAGCTCAAGGACAAATAAACGGACTTTGGATAAAATCGTTTGTGATTACATTCTACCTCTAGCTTGCTAGTGCTCCTGTCCTGGACTCGAGCAACCAGGAAGTATTCCAGCCCTCACTTTCTTCGGACTGCGGGGCAGTTATACACCAGGACGGTTTGATAACTTTTTTCTTCATCTTTCAGCGTCTACAGTCGAACTATTTGCCTCTATGTTCTATCCTTCCTCGGGGTCTAGAGTATAGAACTAATTGAATGTCACCACAGACATCGCTTCATACACCTTACCTTCCTAGATCCATTGTCACCGGATATTCACTTTGGCATTCCCCGTTTTTTCAGGCGTAAAACAGTACACATGTCCCATCGACCTCTGGTCTGTCGGTTGTATTTTTGCCGAGTTTCTCCTGCAACGGCCGTTGTTTCCCGGGAAGGGTGAAGTTGATGAGTTGAACATCATTTTTCGAGACCTTGGAACACCAACAGAGCGCATTTGGCCCGGTGTGTCTCAACTTCCTGGAATGAAGAAATGTGTCTTCACCGAATACCCGTACAATCAGCTGCGACGCCGGTTCACGGAAAAGCAGATATCAGATCTTGGTTTTGACCTACTCAACAAGTGAGTATCTCTCAGTATCCTTTTCACTTTGTTGTTCTTGGTGTGTTGTATTGTTCTGCGCGTAATATGGATTTAATCCATCGATCGATTTGCCCACCTACTCTTCGTTACTAAAAGTTGCACGATTCCTGAATAACTTTTTTCGGATGCAGGGGGTGTGCTTGTCGATAAGCACGACAACGCTTGTTATGACTTTCATCTGATGGTCCTGTTGGATGCTCAACACCCTGTGCATCGTCTTCTGCCTACCAACTTCCAATACTCTCGTGCTACAACAGCCCGTACCTTCATTCTCCTCTACACAACCTGATGCCTGGTTAACAGCGCCTTTTTTAACAGATAGCCTGAGACTGTGGCCTCTAACTTGGTTGCCTATATAGGATGCTAGACTGTTTCATCCCCTCTGCATTCGTATGCCTTTTTTAACTCTGCTGCACACTGATAGAACTCTTGGTTTATCGGACAATGGTCATTCTCTTTTTGTTTTTAGCTTCCTTACCTACTGCCCGGAGAAACGGATCACTGCAGATAAGGCTCTCAATCATCCGTATTTCAACGAACGACCGCGTGCAATTCATCCGTCCATGTTCCCAAGTTGGCCCGCCAAATCAGAGGGTGGTGTCGCCGTGCGAAAGGGAACCTCACCACGTCCTCCGGTGGCCGGTGGTGGAGCTTTGGCAGCCGCAGCCGCCGCAATCGCTTCGGCAGCCGCTAACGTTGGCTCTGGAGGTGCAAGTCGAGTTCGATATCAGCCGCCAGCTCCACCCATGGGAGGTCAGCGATTCTATAGTACCATGTCTGGAGGGGAATCGAGACCAGGAACATTGATCGGATCCGGAGAAATGGTGTCCAGCAGTTTGGATAAGGGGTTCTTGCTACGTTTCTAGCCCCGCCCTCCAAAGCCGTTCGACAGTCTTTTACAGATTGTTTATCCCGTCCCCCGCCACGTTTCATATTAATCATAATTTTTAAAATTAAAAAAAACGAAAATAAAAAAGTCAGTGCCACCGTGACTTTTCAGTTTGCACAGTCTAGATATCGTCTTCTAGTTCGTACTGATATTCATAAAAGTAAGAACAAGTTTTTCCCAGTTTCAGCTGGGAACCTGATACCCTTATAATGATCCGGTGTGGATCAATATGGATGCGCCGTTTCTAAACCGTACTCTACCATGCCCGTACCGTCTACTCCAGCTGTCCTTTTTGATACAGACTGCCATTTCACCCTTGACGAGATCCGTGAACAACTAGCCCACCTTGGTGTCACTGATTTGACAAATGAACAACTTTGGGAGCTGAAAAAACACCTAGACAACGCGATTGTGAGAGATCTCAAACAGCTTTCGCTGCAATACAGTATAGCTGATATCGCTCCGAATTCAGATGGCACGTCTTCAGAGGATTCACTGGCTGTTGCACAAATCACTTCCAGTACGCCGGACCAGGAACTAGGTCAAACCGGCGATCAGCAATGGAACAACCGATCTCCGCTATTGCCAGTAAGTTTGCTTCATAGCGAATCCGTGTTCGCTGCTATCTCGGCGCTATCTATGAATTGCATCTCGTCTTATCTATTTGTCAGCCTTTCCACGGCTAGTTTACAACCGGTCTGTCGATTTAGGCCGGTCACCAGGATGCTGTTTTATTTTTAAAACTCTGTCGTGGTGTCCGATATGTAAATAGACAAGGCGAAAATACACCACGTTGATTGCGGTAGAGTTAACTTAACCTCTAGAACTTCTCGACCTGGTGTAACGGTGATACTACTGATGGGGAGTAGTATGTGTTGTTCGTAGAATTTCGCTTTGCGTCTATTGAAAAAGGGAGATCTGTTGCGGAATTCGTGGAGCCACTCTGTAACATTTGCTTGGATTTGACCGACGAATGAGTGGAATCAATGAATCTTTAGGAAAGTTCAAGAAGCCTCGTTCGGGAGAAGACGGGTGTCCAGTTTTTGTAACTAAGATGCAAATTAGAGTTTTGCTTCCCTATTCAGTGGTCTGTAACCGGTCAGTTGGCGTTTCCGAATAAATAACTCCGCAGCGAAGGCCTTCTTCCTTTCACTGGTACTGACGAGCACCTATGCTTATTCCTGTGAAATTAGGATCTATCGTTGTGATCCTCTGTCATTTAATCATTTCAGACTCTCTCCCACGAACGAGGCGTCTCTAGTACAAGCATTCGGAGTAGGAAAAGCAATGTGGGGAATAACAGACAACCGGATTTGCTAATGAATGGTTCAACCACCTCATCCAATGTGTCAGATATCGAAGATGGCGCAACCCTGCAATCTCAAACTCGTGTGAGGCAGCACAGCTACAGGTCTAAAACGCGCAAATCGAGTCGGTTTCAGCTGCGTGGAGCCGGAGAATCAATCGATTCTGACGAGAACACAGACAAGAACTCGAGGAAACTAGTATTCTTAGAGTCTAAATCAAGACCGTCCCGCCTGGTTCCCGGTAAGGTTACAAAACATCTATCTCAAGTTTTTCCATCGGTTTTCAAATCCTAATATCTATCCTCATATTCTTGTATTCTCAATGTGTTCCATCTGTCTTCCAATGTCTTTACCGTCTCGCTGCCGTTGGTGTCACCATCGACCAACAACATACGAGTGCCGCCTCAGCTACCCATGCTTCAGCTTCCCGTGCTTCTACGTCAGCGCGCTCTGCCTAATGCTTGCCATATATCCTAGACCTCGAGGTAGTTCAATGCTGACGGTGCAAAACTGACGATCGGATGGTCCGTCGTGTGAACCTGATCAAGAAAAAAATCGTTCAGCTTTAGCACCCCTTCGGTGCCTAGCTGCCATGCCACATGAAGGAGGCACGAGGGCTGGGAGATTGCCAGGTTACCCAAGCCTAGACAGGGGAAGTCGAGAGGCAGAGGTCTGGTTCGCACCACGGACCTTCCGGTCAGTACATTCGCACTCTAACCACTTGGTCCATCTCGCCCCTGGTGTACGGAGGCCAACCGTTCTTAATAGCTGAACACCACATCATTTGGACGGATGTGTCACGGGCCAAACGAGGGCATGTCCTGATTGGTCAGAATGCCAGCCAATCCGAGTCAAGCACCCTTGACTCGATGCTTCTCGCCCCCTCACGGAGATTCTGGCACGACCTTGTGGAACACTCTGACTACCCTATAAATACAGTTGTAATAATTTTCCTTTGTCTCCATAAATGGCTGTGTAGAGCTACCGTGCCTTTTGGTACACCATATTGGGCGGAGCAGGAAGCCAAGGGACCGATGGAGAGTTGCACTACTGTCCAGCAAGTCACAATACCTGGCTTCTTGATTGCTCCTGTCTAAACTTCGACAGCCTGGCAGCATTCCAACCCTCGTGTCTCTTTTCGGTTGCATGTCAGCTATACACAGAAAGAGTGTTGCAGCTTAACACCAGCTCCGATTGGTCAAAGATCATGCGAAAGGCGAAATCTAAGAAACTACTGTGGGGAGCTGTGTTGGGAACCTCATGGTTATTGAACTCTGCTATGTGTATATGCTCGCGACTCACCAGGGAATTTATTTTTCCACATCGGTTTGCCTCCTTATTCTTAGATTTATTAAAACTTCTCCCCTGTGGTTGCACAACTCTTTTATTGACTTGAATTGACTGGGTTCAAAATCATCTCTATGTTTTGGGATTTTGTCCTCACTCATCACTACTTTTCATACAACACTGTTTGTCGCGTCTCCCTGTGTTTTTCCACTTATGTTGTTCACATGATAGAATAAACTAGCCCTGCTTTCAGTAGGTTTCGCCAGGTCAACTCGGCCTTTGCTCTGTAAACTTTGCCTCTGCAAACTGTGTACGCTAAAGTACGATGTGAAATGTAGTATCGCCTAATGATATGTGAGTGGCGTCTGTGAGCTTTGTGTGGAACCCGATAGCATAATCTACTTTCATCAGTTCATTTATCGCAGATCCCTCCCTTAATCGTTCTCTGTGGTTTGCGGGTTTTGGCATCCTTAGGTACTGGCACAAGCGCTTTTATATACTTCTCTAGTTCCTGTCTGAATGCAACACCCCCCTATCAATGGGTCAAAGCGAGTCCCCTTTCCCGGCTCTATCATTTAACACCCAAACAATTCAGTATTGTTGTGGATAGCTGTTTCTTCTTTCTTGCTGTGTCATCCGGGTTTCTTCCCAATTAATCACGGTTTACAATATCATCAATATCAATTTATTGTTTTCCCGTTCGTTTAGCTCCACAGACCTGTGTAAACGGATCTCCGCATTACCGTGCTGTTGTTCCTCGTACCTGTCTTAACGATCCACCCCAGGGACCACCGTCAAAAACCGTGTGCGATGTTCTATCGATCCACCAGCCGGCAGCGAGTGCACGTTCAAAGCGAAGCGAACGATCCGAACGGTTTCAGGTTGCCGGACATTCCCCAACCGAGGATTCACCCCCGGTATCTGTGCAAGACATTTTGCAACATTCTGATCCGTCCACTGTAAGTCGGCCCCAGATTTTGCACTTGACTTTTCATCCAGAATAGGAAATTATCTAGTCCCTTTTCTTCAGATCATGCCAGGTTGAACTTCTTAATGGCATGCTTTTCCGCGTTGATTGTTGTGCTGCAGATAGCGTATTATTCGCGTCTTCTTATCTCAAGGCTTGGACCAACCTGAAGGCCACTTACAGGGCCTTCGGGCAGTGTCACGACCAGGAATCGTCCAAAAACTTACCTACCGTGTAAATTGTTGGACTCGTAGTTTCAGTCCGACCCGGGTTTTTTGCTTGGTTCTTTCTGGGCTCGAGCAAACCGGCAATGGCTCAGTTTAAAGGCTTTGAGGTCGATGCAGCTCAGTGCTTAAAGTGCGAGCTACTTATCGAGAACTTTGCGTTCCAGCTAACCACTTTCTGGGCTTTGGCAGCCCCTATAGTTTGTTTATTCTAGGTGCATGCTAGCTAAGGGCCGACGGAGTGTCAGAACTCTGTGATTTTGTTTTGTGTGGTTTTTGGATTTTGGAACTGGATTTACAAACTGTAGGATCATTGATGCGACCCTAATTCTGTGAAACGCACAGATGCTCATATAACTTTGTCGGGTTCTTCATAAAGGAAACTACTCACAATGTTGCTGAAAACTCTTCGACAGCCCACGACCGGTTTCGCCCTTTTTGGGGTTCATCAGGTAGGCGCAGTCCTCGAGTTTCTGTCAACCCTATGTTCGTTTTCGAGAAATGCACTCATTTGCAAATAATTTGGTTTTCACGAGAGACTCAACTGAATATCTAGTTTATGATATCCCACAGTTAAGTCTCTCTTGAAAACAGTTCAATTTGGTTTCAATTAGAACATAAGGTTGACAGGAACTCGGGGACTGCGCCTACCTGATGAGCCCTAAGAAGGGCGAAACCGGTCGTGGGCTGTCGAAGAGTTTTCAGCAACATTGTGAGTAGTTTCCTTTATGAAGATGTACTGCCAACTGAAACATGGGGCGGCCTGTGTGCAGCACATTCGGTTGTAGAATATCATTTGTCGGGATCATTTTTCACCTGGTGCCCTTATAACAATTAGTGTTCGGTGCACGCAGACTAGGTTTAAAAGTGCCGGAGTGGAGTTGTAACGATTTACCAAGGTGCAATCGGATTCACTCTCCCTGTTGAGGTAAGTAGCTCCCATCGAACAGCGCAAGGCTAAACTTCGTATTCACGCAGGTAGTTAATGTAAGTTCAGAGTAACTTAGAAAGCACATATACAGGGACACTGTGTGCATGCGGCCTTGTAAATGGTAAATAAACAACTTTGGTCACATGTCCAGGCATCACATAAATAGCTTTCTGATGTATTGACGGGTAGACACGCATGCGTGCAAGCCATTGGACAGATCGAGTCAACCATTACGGCTACGCAGCAGTTTACTGATGATTGACGAACGTGTGCAAACTCTGACACATCAATACGCAGCAGTTTACTGATGATTGACGAACATCAGAGCAGCTACCGCAGCAGCTGTAGATGAAGTTGCAGCGCGTACTCTTTTCATGGGGTTAGAAAATCTGGAATCAAGTTGTTTCCTCACGATCGCAGGTCCAAATTGAGCCGCAGTCATCCGAAAAAGAGCGCCGAACTCCATAGTTGAGCTGATTTTGGTGGTTAGTTGCCATCTGGTGTTTTCTTCATAAAGTGAGTAAAGAAGCGATCTCAGTAATGTCGGCGATGAGGAACGCCCTTTCCTGCGAAGTTGCTTATTAGCCAACACAAACTAAGTGGTTACAAGCCATCAAACAGGAGAGTAAATATCTCATCTTCACAGAGTTTATGTAAAGTGAACATTCTCAAGCGTCCTCTTAAACGTTCTTTGAATATTAACCAGTAATGAACGACCAATGTAAGCGGTTCCACAATGTCCGTCATAACCTTCAGATTCGGGAACGCAGCTCAGACACCAGACCATAGACTACTTGCATGCTTCATCAGTAGTATACACTGTCACATGGGTAGCTCTTCGTCTCAACTAATCTACTGTTTTCACGACTCAGAGCCTCATCTGACGTTGATTCCTACGGTGTCCTCGCTCTTCTCGTGCTAGTCACATGTGTTAGCTACCAATTATCAGTGCGGAAATTAGGTCGGATGGGGCTTGTCTGGGTCCATATTACCTCGTTTGATTGTCGGTATTCTATCGAACAAGTGAACAACATCGAACCTAGAGCACAGTGACCAGTAATGTGGTTGTGTTTCATCGCAGGTGCTCCGCCAAGTCGGCTTTTCATAAAATCGCCCGGGTGCCTTGCAGTCCTGGGACAAGGACTATCAAAGTGCCAAGTGGGGACTTTCTACATGAGATGCTAGAGTGTTTTCAAGCTTTCTTTTTAAAAAGCCTACTTTGAAACCATGCATCCCTTCAATTTCTGCAATAAAATGCATCTATTCGGAATGTTTTTGTGGCCAACCATTCTTTCTGTGGCCAGCTTTGTTTGCGGAACGTCCATCGTATGTCTATGGGAGTTATCGGACTGACGCCTCATCCAACTTTCGCTTAGCTCACTCTGGGCTGAAGTCATGTATTCCATAGAAGTTATCGTTTCTTTTTGAATGTGTTGCCTTGAATTTCCCACCCCGATAACTTAAATGGGGTTGTTACCAACGGCCTTCCTCATTAACAGTAGCCTCTGACCTTCTCTCACCCAACAGTCCCAGGTAACAGAATGACTATGTACGAGTCGAACTCCATGAATACTCCAGCTCATATTTTGGATGATAGGCTTTGTTGTGACTAGTCCGTTCTTACCTGATTTACACAGTTGTCTTGGTTGGTAGCGTTTTAAACATTTTCTTGTTTCCTGACAGCGCCTCCCATCCGACAGTCTCCGACCGAATTCAACAAACGGCTCACGTCGTACCACAACGCGGCGTCTGCTTGAACCGTCGCATAAATCAGTGGAACGGCGGGTTAGGTCTGCCGTTTGTGAACACCGTCCTCCAAGCAGTTCAGGTGACCTCTCTCCCCACTCTTTATCCCAAGTTTACCCTCATTCCGGCTTGACCACAACTGGTCGAGGAAGTTCTCCGAATACTAATTCCCATCTGCTGAAGACTACGCGAGGGGGTAAGCTGAAAGGACCGTCTTCCGCTCACTCTCGGCAACCACGATCTACTCCGGACTCACGACTTGCCAGATTCGCGGACGATCCTGTCGAAAACATTTACGATATCAGTTCCAGAGAACACCGCACTTCGGGAACGTGTGAAGTCAACCGACCACTTTCTCTGAAGTCGTTGGATGTATGTTTTTTTAACTTGGGTGTGTATTTGTTCTGTTGACGTTAGGCTGTTTATGCTTCTGAGCCACAGCTTACGCCCGTGGTTTCATTGTGACAGATGAAATCAAAGCGCAAACAGGAAAAATTTAGTTCAATCCGGCTGCCCCAGCCGGAGGATCTCGAATGTTTTGAAACATTCGTTTGTCGATAACAAGCTCTATCTGGCTGCATTGAGGTGGTCCCCTAGCGAGAACCCGGACCCTTAGAGCAGTATATAGAACTTCTCAGGACATGTACTACAGCTGGCCTGCGTGCAGTTCTACTTCTTTAGAACCTGAAATACCCATCTGCTCTCCGTTTTTCACTGATTTCAGCGCCCCTCTTCTCTAATTTCACAACCGCGTCCTCGTCTTCGGCGTCTGGACCCTGTTTCACGTTACCACTCCTATCGTCGTAGTTGGTTGACGTATCGGGCTCCTGGAGAGGACGCACGGCGCGTGCTTCGGTGGAATATCAAAACAGCCATGATGCATCGTGAGGTGCCTTTGTTGCAACGTAATTTTGCCGAAGTTGTGGAACTGTTTGGGGAGTCGGCGGCCGATTACTTGCGTCGTGAGCGACAACACAACTTAAAAGCATTGAATGTGAGTTCATATCGATCAAATGTTACGGTTAGTCTCTCACTTTTTATATAGCTGGTTGACTCTTACCCTATCCAACCGTTATTTCATTTATTTCTGAGTAAGGGATGTTTTTTGACACAATGGGTCATTCATATTGCCCATGTCTTTTGACTGTTCCTACAAATTTCTGGTTGCAGTCTGTGACACTGGTGCATCCAACCATTGCCAAATATTAGTGGTATGGTGACACGTTTACCCTGTAAAAGTTTGGTGACACAGGCGGCCCACGCCACGAAGCAGTTGTTCATCGTGTAAACTGGGTTTGTATGTATCGACGCCCAACTTGCTCTGAGTATGTGTTAGGTAAAGCGGGTCGCTCAGATTTGTCGCGCCGTTTTTGGTGTACAAACGATGATTTGGCAGGCAAATGACGTGCGTGTGGAATATTCACCCTCAGACTAAGAGAGGAAAATGATCGGTCGGTGCGTTCAGTTGTTTGGGGCGTTTTTAGTGGGGAACTGGACCGTGTAGGAGAAAACCTATAGCAGAAAGAGGCCCATAGAACATGGTTCACTCCGAATTACTGGGTTTACTGAGTGGTAGGCTGTGAAATGAAACACAATCTGACATTAGTGAATATACACTCATTTGCAAACTAATTTGGTTCTTTCGAGAGACTCACCTAGAACCCAGCTGAATCTCTCGTTTTTTATGTTCTCAGGCAACTGAATATGCTGCACCAACAACCTTATGAGTAGTACATTACAAAGATATACATGTACCGCGATATTTCAAATATCGTAAGAAAGGCGAAACCGGTCGTGGGCTGTGATTTGATTTTCAGCAACCTTATGAGTAGTACATTACAATCTGACATCGTTTAATGTTTTCTGTATAACAGGAAGCACTGAGCACTGAGTTCAGTTCATTCAAGGATCGGATAAACTGCGTTTTCACAACGTGTGGGCGCATAATGCGAGAAGGGATTCAACGAATGGAGCGAAAACACCATAAATAAACGGCGAGTTGTTTGTGAGCAAATAAGCAATACAGCGCTGATGGCTACGTGATCTCGCTGGACTCATTCACTACTGATGTCCCACTTATGTCTTCGCACTGTCAGCTGGCTCGAAATGTAACTAATCTGACCGCCATCAGTGTTACTACATCACGATCATAGGTTGTGGCACAGCTGTTTCCTTGATCATTCATTCAATGACTCCCACAGCATACTAAACAAGCATTTCAGCATTTTCAGTGTTCAATCTACTGGTTCTCATAACAGCCGTGCATTCGTCTCTGCTTGACAAATTTATTTGCTGTAACGTACATTAGGCTTCTGGGGGTGATGAACAATTCATAAAGTTGATTGAGTGACAGGACGTGAAGCTGGTAAAAGTTTCTACTCTTGTACTACCACTATTACATTCCTCGCCAAACCAAGGCAGGTGGCATACCGGTCATCGTCCTCTGTCTAAATTGTGCGGATAAAGCACAGTAAAGCATACAATCGGCTTTGAGAAGTGAGCTTTCGAAATGTATCACCCAGCTCAGACACTTGAGCTTCTGGGGGTGATGAACAATTCATAAAGTTGATTGAGTGACAGGACGTGAAGCTGGTAAAAGTTTCTACTCTTGTACTACCACTATTACATTCCTCGCCAAACCAAGGCAGGTGGCATACCGGTCATCGTCCTCTGTCTAAATTGTGCGGATAAAGCACAGTAAAGCATACAATCGGCTTTGAGAAGTGAGCTTTCGAAATGTATCACCCAGCTGCATCAGACACTTGAATTTGCCATCACGCTGTCTCCCTTGCTGGTTGCCTCACTGGCTTGGTTACTGATCATCCTGTCCGTTATGCCCACGCGAACATCGCGAGACTGGAACAGTGCGTTCGTTCGTGGGCCATGCACTCATGTTTGTGAGAGCCTGGCTTTTCCGGCAAAGGAGCGAATCGCTGGATTCTTGTGGAGAATGTATCTGAACATTGGTAGTTCGGATACATCTGCTGGCAGTTGGTCATGGGTCCAATACACTCACATCAGCACACGAATTTCAAATGACCGGGGGCCAACGGTGAACGTTGGTGGCCTAGTAGGACCCATGGTTGGCTATTGATCTGTCCACTGAGTTTGGTAGTTAGTTTTCGAATGTTTAGGCACCAAACGAGGAGACCCCATCAGTGGGCGATTGAAGTGGGTGCACTGAGGATGTCTCCTTGATTGATGATGAAACGTTCGCAATCTAAATACCAAACTTAGCGAGCAGATCAACGGGCAGCACGATTCTCAAACCGCAAATTGGTTAGTGCGCTAAACACCCCTACCATGCGGTGCGCGCCCCTGCAAAATCCTACTACTTTACCCTGTTGCAGAAACTTCCTATGGGTGTGCGCCACTAGTTTAAAACAGCCCATGCGAATCACTTTTCTGTTTGTTTATTCGCATAGCTGAATCAGCTGATCGTGAGTACGACTTACATCGCTCTGCTTAGGTATCGAAGCTACTAATTCTCGTTGAGGCATTCTATTATCTCAGGGCAGAGTGGGCATTCATCCGTCTTTCGGATTATGGACGTTTTGTCTCGGCTGACTTGGCTTGCTCCATGACTACAACCCACGAGGTGGTTTTCCCACGGCCACAGATATTCGCCACCGCTTGTTGTTTCGGGTACAAATTGCTTATCATTTTATGCTATTGTTATCCCATCTTGTTGTTTGCCTAACGGCCTTTTTCTTCATTCCAGCTAAGCTACATCCCTCCGACGAGCAAGCGTCATGACTCTGAACGCTGGCGAATTCGTTCGGCCTCGGACGGTTTTGGAGGCGCGCGAATCCACTAGTTGTACCACGCCTTCCCCTTCGTTTCCCTTACTCAGCATTTGATCGCCTGCTGTACAAGCCACCGCACCCTACAACTTGTGATCTCCTGGGCCATTTGCATACCAAAGACTGTTCCTTAGTACATTCCAACGGCATCGTTTTTCTTCATTCTATCGCCGCTATTATCGTTATTGTTAGTTTTTCACTTTTCCGTTTTGTTCTCATTTATTACCTAATCTTACATCCCAGCTACGTACTACTAACAACATATCCGGTACAAATCCTTTTTTAGTTTGCTCGCCGCGTCACATGATTTTCAGAACTTTGGTCCCCCAAGGGGACAAGTACCGCTCATAAAATCTGCTACGTTGTAGCTCCGGCATTTTTCGTTTATTTGCCACCAATACACGGATGAGTGGATGACCCTTCTTCGGATTCAGTCCAAGACTGAGAGGTAGATTGAATAGAACCCCCACCCCGAAAGGTGTCCTAGGGTAGGATGAAACTGACATCCATAAAGAACAGGAAGCTTTGGAGCAATAACATACTTGAGGACACAGAAAAGGAAACCGATCTTTTTAGATGCATCTGTAGCGATCAGTTCGTTTGAGTGAACTAAACCTGGAGCATTGAAGGAGGAATGCATTCGGGATCAATGAAAACCGTGAGGTCCAAAAAGGGTTAGTGTTTTCGAATCTTGCCAGAGTTATCCCCCGTCTTGATTTTCTCTGTGCACAGTTGTGTAAGGTTGAATGTTAAGCGACGTGCAGAGGTGGACAGAACATGGAGCGATAGTACGTTGCGCCATCAAGGGGAGCGTGATCGTTGGACAAAATCACGAAAGAATGCTTTCAAAGCGTCAAGCATAATTGCTCATTCGTAGGTATGAGACGTATGCCAATAGGTCTACCCTAGTGGGATTGCATCACCACCTGCATCGATGCTCCCTCGTTGAGGTATTCATCCCTAGGTGGCACACTAACGGTCTGACCACCGGCGATTCCACAACTTTTGACTAAACAGAGATGGCAGCATTTCGGCCGTGCAGGTTAGGACGGTGGCTGGACCCAAGTTTGGGAATAGAGAAAACATTTACTTATTTCCAGCAAAGTGGGGAAACATCGGAGGAAGGGTCAGTGACAAAAAGAACCACAATAGAGGGCCAATTCAGCTGTGCATTTCCGGAAGTTTGGCAATATCGAATGATGTCAAAGGGATGGACATTTTGAAACGGAGTAATGAAGGATAAGGCAGGTACAGTAAATGGTGTTGGGAGGAAAGTGAATTACGAAAATATCGGTTTTTATTTAAGCACAAGGCTTGAGAACAGAGCTAGCAATTAGATGAAACGAAGGGTTTTCTTGTTTAGGCTTACTCGACAGTTTGTTAGCTTCACAACTGATGAATTTGCCTTTCGCCTGATCAGTGGTGGCGTTACAGGAGTTGTGATTGGTCAAAGGGGGGAGGACCACTGTACAGAAATTCCTTGGAAAAATGTTTATTGGGGGTGGACAGGTACGTGCCCTTGATGAGGACAGCTGTGAATCACTGAACGACTGCCGGTGGATTATTCGAGAGCTACCATTCTAACGTGGTTTCTAAGTCGATGCCCATAAAACACAAGAAGCCGCGTAGGCAAAGTATGGTAGAAACATCTGATAAGGATTTTAGCAGAGCGAACGAGGACAGTATGGAGAGAAGCTGTGAGAAAGTCAGGTCACTGCTTTCTTCAGTGTCTCCGGAATACGAGTAGGAAAATTCAAAAGTTTGGAAAAACAGTTGGCATTGGGAAGGCAGTTGCATTCACGTCGTTCTCTCTTGGATATCCTTGTTCCCGTCCCGAAACATGAACATATCTGAGTTTCGCTTCTGTTTGATCTCATTAGCAGCGCATATCGTTGGTTATGCGGAGAGTTGAACTCCGTATATCCGAACTTTAGACGTAACGGAATCGAGCGATGAAACGTGGGTAGCAGGTAAAAGGGGTTTAATATCACTGGTGAGGGGTCAGGTCACTTATTTCATCGGACATCTCAGTTAAGGTCGCGTATTTTGGTAAATGCAGCTAGCCCAGCAGTCGTGTTGGCGTGGAGTTTGGAATGGTGAACCACATAGGTTGGGCAGCAGTACCTTCCCAGATGGAAGCGTTGGTCTTCGCCGGTTTCATATGTGCGACCACCATCGTGGTTCTAGCGATTCTCGCGACATTAGAATTTCCATGTGCGGCTGCTCCCGCCCAGCTATGACGTGCCTCCGGTTGCCGAAAGCCCTGAACGTTGGCTGGCGTGCTATGAAAGCTACAGATTAGCCCCTGGCTTTCAAGAGCTCAACTTATCAGGTCCCTCCTTTGGAGGCGCATCAAAAGTTCATACTCGGGGATCTCCCTGTAAGGCCCTCAGAGGAATTCCGGGTAGTGTTTTTCGTCCGAAAAGAGATCGGTTTGAACTTACCTGATGCTATCCAAACGTTTCAGCCTAATCCGTAAATAGCTAAGTCAGGGTCTTTAGACAAGTGGTGCTAATTTTGACAGAAGTAAGTCGTTGGCTCCAGGGGGAAGGAATACTAACCAAAATATTGTTATCCAATCGCTATTACCACCCACAGTAACCTCCGATCACAAGGGGGGGGGGGAGATGCAATGAAGAAGAAAGATGTCTTCATTGAACCGTATTTTAAGGGCAACCATTCGGCCACAGCTGTTAAGCACAGACTGTGCTACGATTAGTCGCAATCACTCAGCCCATCTTACTTCCTACAACGAAACAATTTGAAGGGTAGAACACAACGCACCTGTCAAGACTGATGCCTACAGTGCAACACAGCCTGAACAGATCGTTTACTAGCGGGTCCCAGTAGAACCGAAAGACTCACGAACACTACAGACGTCGGTATTTGGCCGGACAGCAGTTTGTGAGTGGAACCAATCGGTCTGTGACCACAGCCATGCATTCGCATCATGTGGGTAGTTGCAACACGTGTCAACTGGGGCACACGTGAACTGGTCAGAAAAAGCGCACTATCATCGTCCCTCTGTTGCAAATGCCTTTTCCCAAGGAGTGGGAAGAAAACGTAGTGGGATGTCGTGAGTGTCCCGTTGGGTCGTAGCGCCGGACAGGCTGGGTGTATTGAACGGATCATCTAACCTCAGGACTATTAATAAAAAAATATCGAAGTCGACGCTTTAGGCTGTGGACTTGTGAAACTTTGGGACGTGGCAAGCAGCTGCCTTATTGCTGTAACGTGAGTGGCCGTCTATTGGTTACGCCTGCACTGAGCCTGCCAGGCTACACGATAAGGAGAAGACAGAGAACTCGGGACACGGCTGTATTGTCAAGACAAAACATACAGAGCTTACGCGCAAATATATGGGATGGCTAAATGGCCAAATATGGTCGTTCACTTGTTCGTCCTGTACAGCCAATGGCGGTGTTCCAGTCGTGAACAATTTCAGCCCCACTCCGCTGGTCGTATTTTGCTAAGCCGTGTCTGGTGAGCTCCGCCAACGCACCTGATATCCGAAACATGCACGGATGGTGACCTTGGGGACGCGTCACTCTGCACATGTGCTTTTTTCATGTCTGGGCGCGTCCTGACACATTCAATTTTCTCGCGTCTAGGAGACGGGAGAAACGTAGGCTCCTGGTGAGCACACAGGTGCTAGATGGTTTCCTCCTTTCCGCGAGTGGGAAACCTGTACAAGAATCGGGATCCCCAATGTACTTGTTTGCCCCGAACGTCCGTATTTCGCCTGGTATGTTTGCGTCCGTTTAGTTTTTACTGGACTGGCACTTCCTTTGGGCGTGAAAGCCCTTCTGAATCTTGGTCGAATCAATTCCAACGGTGCTCTGGTCCTTGCACAGTGTGGTGTGGTTCGGTAAGCTAGTGAAGCTGAAATCATTAAACCCCCTCCCTGAGGTTTGCATTGTTAGCCTGTACTCGTTTAAAGTCTTTCAACCCTACCATTGACAGTCACATGCCTGATACGATCATTGCCTAGGAATTAAATGAACTCATGACTTTGAAATCAAGGACCGTTATAGGAAAGAATCTCTTCTGGTCAACCTTACCTCGCAAACAGATATCAAAGTCATTTAATTGCCTTTGTGGTTTCGGGTTGCTCAGAGGCAAATTGCAGCCACAATCTCCTTTTTCGCTGTGGCGCTCTTGCAAATGGACTGACAATGTCGATCGTGATCTTTGCCAGCAATTTCATTGAATGCTCTGTGGGTTGGGTTGGTCATTGTTCCGAGTCGGGCTAAACAAGGTTTTGCTACACACATTTTTATGGTGTGACATATGACAAATTCGAATGTAGATTGTTTTGTTCCTGAACGTATGCTTTTGCACGCGCATGGTCCAAAGTCAATTCGTCAACGGGCTGCGTCCACATACATTCTGTGAATCATGAGAACATCCTGGGCCTCATTTGTACAGTCGTGTTACCTTCGCACAAATGGACGGAAAACATAATTCGTTAGATGAAACCGCCCAAGGTTTTACCAAAAGATTGACGCAGATGACAAAACCTTTATCCGCCAATATAAGTAGTCAAGCGCATACCTCACTGTTAATCCAATGCCGTCAAGACTTCTTTCAGGGCCGACCTCTAGAAGGGTCTCATGGCGCCCAATACTATTCGACCTTCCCTACTGTAGAATTACACCGTAAAAGTAGTTGAGACTGTCATTACACTGGGAGTTAGTGGGACCACTTTATTGACGACAACGTATGGTACGCATCTATCCCACTCAAGATAATGACGCTATTGGGACAAATCGACTGAGGCTGAGCCCGCATACCCAGTGTCTCCCCTTTGTGTGTCTCTGCAGTGTCTCTCCCTCATTCGTTGTTGTTGTTCTCGTGGGTAGAGATCAAATAGCTATTGACGCAGCGGTTAACTCATCTGTTTATGCACGTCATCACCTGACCAAACGAACTCGTGATTGCATCTTTTCTACCACGGATGGTCGCCTCGCAAAGATTCCTAATTCATGAGCAACACTTGAGTAATATCCGGATGCATTGAGATAATACAGACCGGTCGGCGTGATTGCGCTGCCACTGTCTCTACTAGCTTGCCTACTCTTTCGCCTGACACTTATCCCGAATGCTTGATCACTCAGTCAGTAACCTATATCTAACTGCAGCGCTCTAGGATTTCGTGTACTTGAAGTCATCATTCCTCCCATCAGAATGGTCATTTCTGCACTGGGAGTGACGGTTACCTGTTCTTCAATTTCTGATCCCTCCATTGGAAGCTGAAATACTATGGAACTCCCCTGTTTTCTCAGCCGATAAAGTACGTTGTCTGAAATTTGTTAGCATAAGCCTACTCGTTAGTAGTATGTTGTAATGAAGAAATTATGAGCGCCTCGGTGGAATTCGCCAACAGAATGCCGGACAAAATTGTGCTGACCTTTGTAAGCCGTTAATTCACATGGTTTATGTACTAATCTCGTGTTCCAGTTCCAATATTCCA